CTGATTCTATAAGTCAATATCGTAAAAATATTATATATTCATATATATATATATGAATATATTTTTTTGTAGCAAAATTAGAGTGTAAATTAGATTATCGTACACATTAAGCTTACCATGTATTCCCTGGGTGTGATAAGGCTTAATCACAGTAATCGTGTGAGAACTTAATAATTACTTCGGGGCATTCGATCACCCTATAGGTGCTACCTTTGCCCTATATCTCTAGAATCACTATCCTAAAGTACCTGGAGAGAGGTACTTTATGGATAATGGGAGAATGCGTTGCTGCAGCTTCCTCAACACATAGCGGGTTACATCTGTAGGAGTGACTATTGCTATTGACGATCGATATTATTGATTTTGAACATTCAAGAGCTTCGGCTTCGTCTAACAATTCCGTTCCGAAGAGGCATCTTCGTGAACTAACAGCATGGTGGATAATCGTAACCGTTTGACAGTCCGACCGTAACCGTTTGTCACTCTAAGCGTCTTGTACTTCAACGTGAGCGCAAGTTGAGAAATTGCGAATACGCTAAATCGATATGTCTTTCGACAAATTTCCTTCTTATAAAAGGTGTATCGAAAAACGATAGTTTTTGGGAACCGCGAACCGATACTTAAGTGTCTTATTATCTTTGCTATAGAGACTATTTTACATAAAATAATAGCGCAATGGAATATATTTTTACTATTTTATATAAAATAATAACGTGACATTTAGTAATTTATAAATATATCTAATAATTGCGTTATAAAAGTGAATATAAAATATGTGTGATTCTAAAATTTTGTTAAGAAAATTAAAATTAAAATTAAAATTATGTTAAATAAGCTAAATGACCAGTAAAATTTAAACTTCTGATCATAAGCGTTATATGGCAAGGAAAAAACTATTACATGGAATTATGCATTCTATAATATCGTTTTTGTTTAAATGTTGCTTGTCACACCATGTTCAACATTTCTACAAAAAGAAGGAGAAAGGAAAACTCGAGGGATTAACACGACCCTAGTTTAAGAGGGTGATTCAATGATCTTGAGAAAACACGTGAAAAGACTGACAGCTTACACCGTTAAGCTTTTTTCAAAGAAAAAAATGATATTTCGGAAAATTCTAAGAAAATCTTTTTTCGCGTAGAGATCGTAATTTTCTTTTTTTTTTTTAAGCGCGCAAAAGATCTATTTTACTGAACGTACAAAGGATAATTACATGTCAAAAGAAAGAAAATGCCTTTTGACTCTCGGTTCATGTTTCAAAAATTAAGCATGCGTCGGCGGATAAAGGCATCGAGGATAAACATATTTTTTAGTAAATCAACATGACATAAATTTGCAACCGATGATAAGTTGGAAGAATGTGACGTCGAAATATCATTAAAATATATAGTAATAACACACATGCGCACGCATCCTCCTCTAATTAAGCGAAATACAATATGTATCTAGATTTTTATTATTTAATGAATCTTGCGTTAGCCAATGAGAATCATCATCATTAATATCTCACGAGTTTATTAATACATAAATTGAAATGTGAGAAAATTGAAGATAAATATAATTTGACTGAAATATTGAAAAAATTAGGTCGAAATTTTAATATATATTTATATATCCGTTTGATAATTATTATCTTACGTATAATTATTATCTTACGTATGTTCGAAAATTCTTTCTACAACTCTCTGTAAATTATTTAAGACAACAAATATGGTCATAGTTTACAGAAGTTTTTATATTCAAAGTGGTTGAATTATTATACAGTTTACATTGTATAATGGAGTAACTTGCGAAAAAGTTTCTCTGGCAGTCTGTTTGTTACACTATAGGAACAGTTTCAACATAGTGAATTCTAAGTAAATTTAACGGGAAAAGATCTATTAGGATTTTTGTTATTACACAGAAATTACCGGAAATATCTGAACATGTGTGTTCTTATGCGGAAACTTTCTTGTGTAGAAAGTTCAACAAGTATATATGTATATAATGGATCTCTCGGAGGTCCGACAATTTATAGAATTCCGTCTGTGAAGGGGTTTCGAGAAAATATTTCGCGAGAATTTCCCTTGCCTTCTTACTGTAATCTTTTATTTTATATTAACGATAGCGAGCATGTACCGAGTCCTCGATGTAAACGCTATAAAGTCAAGGACATGTCGAAATTGCTGAGAGAGAATTTTTAGCATACCGTTCCTCGAATATTGCGGAAAAGAGTGACAGAAACATGCAGGATATAAAGCGTGTTTCGTATAATGGACATAAAGAACTCTGACAGTTTGTGACATTTTGAGTAACTATATATATATATATATATATATATATATATATATAT